TTCACTTAAACCACTTATTTCTTTTTAAGTTTGCCAGAATTAAGCCCAGATGAGCATAAAACTTTGATATTTTGTCTGTTTTTTGAGGGATTAAACTATCAACAATGCAAGGCGTTATGTTTTCACTAAGACTATACAAAGAACAGATGTTAGTATTTGGCAGCCTACCTATCTTCTTCTCAGGTGTGAATTCTCTCATCAGTCAGGTGTCGTCCATATCCTTCCTCTGGCTGATTTCTACAACTGTAGCGTTTCTACCTACTCTTCTTTGGTCCAAAGCTCTCCACCATACTGTCTTATTCAGATTGTTGGATTTACATGTAGATGTTTATTTTCTTTAACGATTGAGAGGATTCTCTGCTTTTTCTATAGAACCATCTCTATAGGGCAGCAGATTTTCTATAGATGCCGTAGTCTATTATTACCGCATCCCACCAATTCTTGGTGATTTTCATGAGATTTTATATATCTCTTTGAATTCTTTTTTACTATTGCTACTTTTAAGTATAGTGCCTAGCACGCTGATGTTCAATAAATAATATTTACGATTAATCTCAAGAAGTATTTGCCTTCTCTTTTAGGCTGTGAGGATATCATTGCTGAGAGCATCTCATTAGATACCTTAATTGCCATCCTCAAGTGGAGCTCTCATCCATATGGCTCTAAATGGGTGCACCGACAAGCTTTACATTTCCTCTGTGAGGAATTTTCCCAGGTCATGACTTCGGATGTTTTTTATGAACTCAGCAAAGACCATCTGCTTACTGCTATCCAGTCTGACTACCTACAGGTAATCATTTATACACCTCTCAAATTCATTGTCATTCATATGTGCACCAAGAAATCCATCTGTACTCTATTCTTCCATCTAGGGTAGGGCAGGGGGAGAGAAACAGGCTGTGATCAAACCACCTAGAACTGCCCTCTTCATATTTGTCCAACAAAAGCCTCTGGCTTACTGGCTCTTCATGCACAGTGCTGCCATGACCCAACATGTGAACAAGCCCAGGTCCTAACCAGCTGCACCAAAAAGAGGTTGAGGCAGTAGGCAAGCTCAGAAGCACATCCAAACAGTGATTTTTCTTGGCTTTCGTTAATATAGATTCGCTATAATGATTTCTTACTTTTGGTGGAGTATCACATACTTAGATTACATGTAGACAATAGCTGCAGCAGCACAAAGTAAGAATAATATTCAGTTTCTCCTCTGCTCAAATAATTATAAAAACTCAAT